GAGCGGCGCAGGTGGCTGGCGGTGCGGTGCGCAGCCGTCGGTGGGGCGCTGGCTGCTGGACTCCGCTGGCCGCAGCCCGCGCTTTATGGTCCAGCCGCCCGAGGGGGGGTGGGGAGGGGAGGGCGGGGGAGGAACGAGTCAGGGCGGCCCCCTTGGCCAGGATCCCCCATTTGCCGGGAAGAGCGGGGGCGGCGGGAACCGGGAGCGGGGGCCACAGAGGGAAAGGCTGGTGGAGTGAGGTGGACAGTGGAAAGGGGTGGGTGGACACTGGGTCGTACTGAGAAAGGGGGGGGGCTGCGAAGGAGAGGATAGGGTGCAGAGGGTGGGCAGAGAGGGACAAAACGGAGGAGGAGGGTCCCCTGGTCCCCTAGCCTTGGGCACCTCGACTCTTTCCTCCCTTACTTTTTTATGATTTTCTAGAGAAACATCACTTGGACTTGTGTCTAAAGTCTGATTGCTTTTCCAACTGATCTTGTCCGCTGAATCCCCCACAATCCTGCATCCCGTGGTCCGGAGAGCAACGGAATTTGTGCATTTCTACAGTCTTTTCTTGAGTACTTGAAGTGATGGATGTTTTTCCCCCATCAAGTTTTGAGACACAAAGAGTGGCCGGTGGAAAGTGTTTTTTTGGGTGGTGGTGGTGGTGGTGGTGGCTGGAAATAAACAAATCTCAAGGCATCCGTGCCGACAGCTATGCCTAGGATGGTGGTTTTGTGCTCCGGGGTGGTGGTGGTGGTGGTGGCTGGAAATAAACAAATCTCAAGGCATCCGTGCCGACAGCTATGCCTAGGATGGTGGTTTTGTGCTCCGGGATGATTTACTTCAGGCCACTCTGTAAAGGGGCTGCGCACCCACCTCCGGCAGCGCAGTGCCCTCCTCCGTTTCCACTTGAAGGTGTGGGGGTCTGAGGAGGGACAACTGAGCAGCCCCTTTTCTGCCCAGGCAGAGCCTTCAGAGGATGACATGGATTAACTAAAGGGAAAAACATTTGAAAAGCGGTGGTAAAAATATTCCCCATGTAACAATCCCCACCAATGCAGAGGGCCCTGCAGAGTATTTCCAGTCCCAGCTCATTTGTTTCCAAGAACTCCATTTGTAGAAGTTATCTACCACCAACTGGGTGGTTAACCCACCATTCTATTCCCAAACTTGCCAGAGTAACCCCTCACCACTTCTGATTGTGTTTACAGCCAATAACCCGGAGATCTGAGCTCTCCTTCTAGCAGTCTTCTCTTTGGGGTCTACTAGAGGCCCGTCTGAGCTTCCTTTAATGCTGTATTATCTAGTGGCACCAGGTGGAATGGGTCACCATATGCCTACCAATTAGAACTGAAGACACACAAAAGGGGTGTTCGTGTGTTCCTAAGCAACGTGACTGTAAATGATGAGATGGATCGGATTTTGGATTTTCAGGTCTCCAAACTGTGCCTCAAGGTTAGAGGGGGACCAGGGCTCCAGCCTATGCTTTAAACAAAACACCTCTGCTTTTATGTGCTTTATACAATTCGTTCAGAGTAAGTCTTCCTTGAAGCAAGTGTATGAATATTTACAAGTTTAAAAGTCAATATTCCGTGTCTTTCAGCTTGTTGAGTGTAGTACAATCTCCTTTGGGAGGTTTACACACACACACACACACACACACACACACACACACACACACACACCACACACACACACAAACACACACACACACACAAATTAGGTGGCTTCAGGACACCCAAGTCATAAGTAACAAAGCTTACAATGGTACTGTAATTCCAGGGACTCAGAGGGCTGAGGCAGGAGAATCATAAGTTTGAAGTCAGACTGAGCAAGGCTAGCATGAACTATATAATAATATACTGCCTCAAAAAAAAAAAAAGCAGTGAAAGGAACAATTATTATACTGTATAGCACCATAGCTTGTTCTGATACAAAACAGGACCACTCCCTAAGTGAGTCAAGGAGGAGCAAGGGTCACAGACTCCCCTGTGAGTTTTCATTCAGTGTGTCACATGTCTCCGGTCACATCAAATGCCGTTCCTCTGCAGGCTGGGCAGAGTCTGGGGAAGATGGGAAGCTAGAGAGCAATAAGAAGGTGGGGGGTAGAACCAAGAGAGTTTCCATCTCTCCGACACAATGACTGCACCTTCACTGCGGTTCTTGTAGATCAGATCCACCAGAGACCTGGATTGTGTCCTGTGGCAATTCTCTCCCCAGCCACTGCCCGTGGGTCCCTGTTCGGCATCTCAGTCCTTCCTTCATTAGCCGTTTCCCTAAACTAAGTCTGTCCTGTTGAAACATTTAGAGCACTCTCTGCTTTTCTCACGAGAGTAAGAATTACTAAACCGTAATTTATTAGAATGTTGATAGTGTTTCTCAGTCAGTGTGTTGAGCTGTCTTTTAGAAATCTATTCCTAGCAAGTTCCTCGGAAAACAGCTTGCGCATGCGAGCACACAATACATTTTGATTGAACTTGACTGAAGGGACAATGGAGAAATGAAAGACTAAAAGGACTTCCTACTAGCCAAACAAAATAATCTAAGTTTGCCTCTAGAGAGCCTGCACCTCCAGGAAGCTAAGCACTGAGGGG